CCCACTCCACCCCCCCCACCGGCTGCTTTGCTGTGTCTGGCTCTGTGGCGACAGGTTGTAAACCAGAAGGCCAATTTCTGCTGTCACTGTAGCCACTTAGGCAGCCATTGCTGTGCCTGAGGGCCGTGGCACTTTAAACTGTGGGCTGAATAAAACATTTAACTCTCTGTGCTCGTTCATGCACCCTTTCTCTACTTTAAAAACTGCAGCCTGTCTTCATTTTACTTCACGGTTTGACTCCACAGACTTGGCCTTTTTATCTAAATCCATGGGTTGCTGATGATGAAGACAGATGTAAGCAGTTTTGTGTAAAAGTCAGGATGAATACTCAGAAGATATTATTGATACCAGTGCAAGACCACCGGGTCTGTGAGGATTTTCTGTGTGGGGAAGAACATCAGGTTTTCAGCATCAGTGCAAGTGTTTCATCGCGCAGTAATATTTGCATGTGACTCAGATGTTCAAAAATCTTTGTTTGGCAGTGCGCAACTGTCAGGAAAAGATGCCAGCATTGCTAAAAGGAACTTATAAGCCTGGAGCCATACGCTTCCAATGAACCGGACAATTTGGAACAGGTTTTCATCTGGAGCTTGTTCTTAATTCCCCATCCCTGCTTGCAAGGTGCTTTGCATACATTTAAAAACGTTGAACGAAATTTTATTTTTGTTTCAAATTCAAACATTGGGTAAGACAACATCTGTGGAGATCAGGCTTGGCATTTTATTTTAAGAACAAGGAGTAAAAGTGGTCTTTAGGATTAGTTCTCCAGATTTCCTGATTATTTTTCCTCTGTAAATTGGCTGGTTTTTGCACATATTTTGAGTCCTGTCCTTGTGCAGTACATCCATCCATCCATCCATCCTTTCTCTTCCCCTTATTTCCCCTTATTCAGGGTCATGGGTGGGTGCACTGTTGCAGTCACACCTATGGGCAATTTAGAATCACCAGTTAACCAGTTAGTTTGGACTGTGGGAGGAAGCTGGGGTATCCCAGAGAGATCATGAAAGGTCCCAACGATGGTAGATGGTGGATTTTAACCCAGGAGCTTCTTGCTGCAAGGCAACAGTGCTAATCACTACATGTCTGTGCTGCCCAAGAAACTTTTTTTTCCTTTATAAAGCCTAAGGAAACATTATGAATCATTAGTAGTTGTTTTTAAGCCCTTAATTACAAGCAACGTGTTGCACAAACACCTAACTTGTTCCCATTTCTTTACTTAAACCCATGAACAAAGATATTTACACCAATAATGTGATTCTCAAAGTGCCATTAGCTGAAAATGTGGCAAATCTGATGCAGAAAATAAACAGTATTTTAAAGTTTTGTGCTGGAAATAGGAATTAATCATGGAAAGACCTGACAGATGTATCTGGCCCTTTAGTTGATCCATCTGTTGTATTCTTAAGGAAGGGAAAGGCTGAGATATTCTATTTTGCACAATTGCTGAACTGAAAATCAGTGGCAACAGGTCTTATGGAGTGATGAACCCACATTTGAAATTTGTAATCAATCCATATGAAGAAGGTCAGGAGAGGAATACAACAGTGTCTACAACCATCTGTATAAGGTGGAGGCTTTGTGGTTTGGGGGAATTATGAATATAGAAAAGTACCATCAGACTTGGATCCACCATGTGGAAAACATCTGATTGGCAACAGCTTTGTTTTCCAGTATCTAAGTGACCCCAAACGCTCTACCAATGCCATAAAAAGCATAGCTGGATAGAAAAATCACTCAAGACTTTCCAACAGTACTGCATTTCTTTCCTCTGACTGTAACGTGCAAAGACCCATCCCTGCTTTGACTCTGATTGGCCTTTCTAACCAGCCATGTAATTTGAAGGCTAACTAAGCAACAAACCGCAAATCAGAAGCAGGATATGGGCAGATTACATTGTTGTGTTAATGAAATAAAAGACAGTAGACGTTTCCACACATTGCAGGTGAATAACAAACAAATAATTTTGGACACTGACATGAAACTGATCTATTGTTTTAGTTGTCTGTTGAGGGATTTGAACCTAGATGGAGGCGCTGTGTGCAAAATGCTGGCTTTTACTCTTTCTGTGGCTCACGTCTGTGTCACTACCGACTGCCGCTACAGTGTGAGGCTGGAATAAACAGACGTGACACAGGGGGTAGACATGATGTAGCAAGTATTAGAGCAGTAATTGTTTTACAGTGTAGTTGTTTCTGTGATGTTCAGATTTTGGCACCTTTTCTGTGGTGTCCTGGTTTTCCCACTCACAAACATTTTAGACAAGTGGAGGTGTGACAGAAATATGGTCGAAATATAACACATGGGAATAAACTTGACTGTTTTCATGATGTTGAAGCACTTTTTAAAGATGGCTTTGCTGCAAAGTTTAAAGTCTGTTTTTCTCCGTGAGTGTAAGTAAACAGATTCATTAGACTAATATTAAAAATACTTTTTATTATGTTATGAATTCATCTCGGAATCCCTTCGCGAGTACATCACTGAGTCTTTATTGGCCTTTAGTGTGCTAGCTTCAACATTACAGCTCTTTAAATACCTTGTGAGCACAAAGGGCTGCCACTTAGCAATATAGCAAAGGCTGTATTTGAGCAATACATTTAATTTTGAATTATTGCTGCTGATTTCCTTTGTTTTTTCCTGCAATAGTATAAGTCATGATTCGTAGTAGGCTAATTTTGACTTTTCAGCACTGTTGTCTGAATCGAGCCAGTGCACAGAGATTAGCAGTCCAGCAGCTTACGTTTTTAATTGCTGCTAATTATGCAAAGTATTCAAGAGACCATTCATGGCAGTCTGAGCTGGTGTGGACCGCTCACGCTAGCAATGAAGAAGACGAGAAATTAGCCAATTTCCACTGAGAGGTGGTCTCCTTTTTTCTTTTTTAAATGCATTAAAGTTCTGATTCTTTTTGAAACGTCCATCAGATTCATGTGCGTCCTGCCTGCTTTATCACTCTGGACACATTCCCTTCTTGCTTTTCGTCTGCCAGCATCATCATAGTTTATCGGTCTCAAATATGCAACAGCCACAAAGACGATTAGTGGTTCTACTTTTGTGTACGCTGCACCAAAGGCAGTTTTTGTGTGTGTCAGAGCTTCTGTAAACGGAGTATCTTGTTTGTGACTCCTTGTTCCCGCGTCTCTCTCTCTGCATCATGGTACGTTTACTGTCACTGTGGGGCTGCCTCTTCTCCTTCCTCCATCTCTCTCTCACTCTGCCTCTTCCTTCTTCTCCCTCCTTCTCTCACTCCCTCTCCCCCTCTCTCTGGACACAGATTCAGAGCGTGATCTGATCTCCATGTAATGGGAGAGTAATAGGCACTCTGCCTTGATTGGTTGGTAATTTGGGGGAGTTATGCACAGGTGCAATTTGTAATATTTTCAGTAAATTAAATTTCTTTCTTTTCCTCTCTTCATCTCTCCCTCTCTCCTCTCGCTCCCTCTGCAGTGCTTAACTCAAATAGGTTATTTTTTTTTTCTCACCCTGTCTCAAATCTGTCCTGACTTTTCCTTCCCCCTCCTCACCCCACCTCTTTATTCACTGCTTTCTTTCCCCGTTCCTTTCTTTTCATTTTCTTTCCCTCCCCTCCTTAGCTCCTACACTTATTCTCTCTTCTCTTGGCTCGCTCTCTTTCTCTCCTCCTCTCGCCCTCCCTTTCTGTCTCTCTCTCTCTTTTTCTCCCCTCGTTTTATTGATGTACGCTCAGGCGCCCATTAGAGCTCCCTTTTTCCCTCTAGTGGAAATTGCAGCATGTTAATTTTCACACAAATTACGGCAATAGCAGGTATCTCTATTTGATACATTATAGCGGGAGCAATCAGAGATAATTGAGTGCCTTTCAGAGGGAGACGGCTGCATTCACTGCCGGCTCAAAGCTGCCCCATTATCGCCTAATCGCTCTTTAAACACTGAATTTTGCCGAACAAAAATTCTTGTCATAATTTTGCTTAAGTGTATTTGGAAATCACAGTCCTTTGAGCGAGGATAATTGAAATCAAATCCCTTTCACTGGAGCTGACATTTCTACATTTCCCCCCAATTGAAATTAATTTCAAAAATTGAGCATGAATATCTTCAAATAGCAGGCAATTATGCCTTTCAATGGGGAGAAATTACCGGTGCTGAATCGTTGGAGGCTTGCGGGCGAGAGCACCAGTTAAATGCCTTTGTTTCCCGCCGTGTTTGCCTAGTAAAGATTTACATATATTGACTCATTATGGTGTCTTGTGAAGCTGATCGGCGTGACTACCACAACCGGCAATAACGCTCATCGCATCTAAAAAGCTCAAGAGTTTTAAAGCCTTGTGGCCTCACAGCTGAGGGAAAAATGTATGTTTGTTTCTCTCCATCTCCCTCCCTTTCTCACTCCCTCTCTCTTTCTGCAGCTGCAGTAGCACGAGTGCTTGTAGACTCAGTATTTACAATGCATGTTTGTAGCAAAGCCAGAAAGAAGCATGCAAAGCCGAGGCCCTTGTCCGTGTCACCGGTGCTGGGATGTTTTCTGCCATGTCAAAGCCACTGGATGCTTGTAGTTTCACAGCAGTTCACACATGTTCCAGCCTCTGTAACCCAAAAAAGCGGGGGGGAAACTGGCTGTGTTTTTGTTTTTGTTTGGCCTGCTGCAACGTCTCTCCCTCGCATGCTCGCAGAATATTGTCTGTCTGACTACCTTTCATTAACTGCTTCACTGGTGTACCTGAGCGACAGTGTAGTGCGCAAAAGTTCTCTGGAGGTCGGATATGTGCGCGCGCCTGTGTCACGTAAAAGATAGAGGCAGGTGTTTTTAAGACTGAGGAAGTCTTGAGTGCTTGTTTTATTGCGTGAAGCCATTTTAGACTGTTGCTCTGTGATTTGGATCAATTTGTATGAGTTAGCCTCTTTTCTTATTTCTTACTTTTACCTTTTATTGTATACATCCTCTCCCTCACTTTATCGTCCTCCTGACACATCTTCCTTATGGCGTAACTGTGTTTTGTAGCTGGGTCGGGGTTGTGTGCATCTGTGGGGAGGCAAGGGAAGGGGGTTGGGGGGAGGCAAAGGAGCAAGGGGTACGAGGTGGGGGCTGGGGGGTCCAACACTCCCGGGAGAGAGGCAATTTCACAGCTGGTTTGCTCCTTAGGCAGTCAGGCTGAAAATGCTGCAGATTTGTGGAGCAAATTGAAATGGTGTCAGTGCAGGAACAAAGCGCCGAGCTGAATGACGAGGTAGGTGTGTGTGTGTGTGTGTGTGTGTGTGTGTGTGTGTGTGTGTGTGTGTGTGTGTGTGTGTG